TGTTGGGAAAGTAAAGCTCAATTTATCTAAGTGCATCTATGCATGATTTCTCTCTTTAAAAGGCAGTACTGGGGCACATACATTTTATGTTGCTTTGAGTTACAGTCTATAAATGTTGGGATGGATTCCTTTTATTTTAACTTTTATTTAATATTTATTTTGAGAGAGCTAGTGAGCGGGAGAGGGGCAGAGAGAGAGAGAATCCCAAGCAGGCCCCATGCTGTCAGCACAGAGCCTGACGCAGGGGTTGAACTGATGAACCATGAGATCATGACCTGAGACGGAATCAAGAGTCAGACACTCAACCAAGTGAGCCACCCGGGCGCCCCAGGACTGATTCTTTTTAAAAGTGAGAGCAAGGATATATCTTAGGTGCTTTTGCTGTCCAACTGTATGGTATACAGTCAATAAGTGTTTACTAAACAAATAGGAATAAGTTTACCATTGGATTTGTTCAGTCTGAAATATGGTATATAGGTGGTGGTTCTGTATATGTTCAATGGGATTTTCCTAAGAGTGTGTGAAGCAACTAGGTCTTTGCTTCATTTATCCATTTCATAATTTCTAGCTTCTTATTGAGGTAATTAGCAGTTTTTAAGTTCAGGCCTGACATGTAGAAACTCAGTGTATTCACATTTTTCCCAACTATCAAAGTGCTGGACTTGAGACTATGATGGGTATGGGAGAGCACAGGAGGTTAATAAGATCCTATCAGAGATGAAACATGCAGTTTTGTGAAGTCAGATATTTAATGTTAGGATATTTATCACCTGTCAAAATAGATGTGAAAATTTCAGCGTTTAACTGTAGATGAGGCTCTGAGCTCACTCTTCTATATTCTGTCCCATTTAATCTCCATAAGAGGCAGGTAATATTTCTGAGGCACACGTCCAAGGTCATTCCTAAGTGAGTATATTTCACCAAGCATAATATACATCTTTTTAAGCATTTGAAAGAAGGTATTGTGTTTAAGTAACTCCCAAAGCTGGTGAGTCATAAACTGGTATATATAGATTTTCAGGTCCACTCTATTTAGTCCTTATATCTCACAGAATCGGATTGGACCATTCCGATTCCACAACAATCGTTGTGACGATCAGAAACTGAAGTAGAAACTCTTGTTTATGTTTAGTATTGCTTATATAGAAAATTTAGGAGCAAGCAGGACTTGTTTAATGTTTGCTAAAGCACTTAAGAGGAAGTGGTTCTGTTAACAAAAAAATAAGCTGCTGTCAGGGGAGGAGGAAGAAAACACTAACATTGAAGTATTCGGTGTCAGTGTCACAAGAGCATTTCTCTTACCATCGATGGTTGAGAGTCAGAGCCCCTAACTTGCTCAAAGGCCTTTCTGCAGGATATGGATAATTAATATATTGACAATATCTGGAACATTTTCCGTTGTTAGAGTAACTCGTGTCGGTCATAGTTTTGCCTTGTGGTGTTGATAATTTGCAAAGAAATCGGGAGGGCGAGGTCTTTGTTACTGAAGTGGTGAACCCAAATAGAATCTGTATTATTTTGCCATATCATTTTAAATGATGGGGTGGTTTTATTTGTAGGACTTACACCAAAATGTGAGCAAACCCTCATGTAAATAGGAAATAAAATCAGGAAGTCCTTGTCACTGTCAACAGCACCAACCCCATCGGTCTCGCCACCTTAGGAGGAATGAATAGAAGATGAATGGCCAAACTTTTCAGCATAATTCCATCATTTGGGCCTAGCAAGTTTATGCCTTATGGTGTGCTTTGAAAAAGGACCTGTAAAAATAAGCTCTCTGTTGGTGTGTGAATCTTTATTTTTTTAAGCATTACTGTCCAAGTGAGGCTTACTGTTTAACAAGGCATTTTAATGACACAGAATCAGACACCTCCCTTTTGAGTGGATTTTCTGGGTTAGTGACCCTGTACTTTTTCCTAGTAAGTTAAGGCTTAAAAGTCTTAAATTTTCCTCAGAGTACACCTGAGATAGCCTTCAGTTGGCTCACATAGCATAGTTCAGCCCTTTGTCTCATGAGGCCTAGTGCATTGCATTGCTTAGATGTTTTAAGTATTTTGAGTGTTCTAAGTATTTTACCAATCAGCTACTAGTGATGGCTCTAGATGGGAGACTGACGTGTTCTTTCCAAAAGTTGGTGTATTGCAGTTTCTTCTTCCATCTTATTTTGACCTCTACCTTTATTAGATATGAATTATCTATACACTAATCATACATATCTTTATATAATATATAGTATGTTATCTCTTTAAGACTGTGTGCTTTGGGTTGTTGGTCCTCAGGTTGAGTTTTGCACAGGTAGACTGGCAAACAGATTTGAAGATTCTGGATTGAACTTTATTTTGATTCAGGCTCCACAGGAAACAGTTGAAAACAGAATGCGGTCTTCCATATTATTTTACATACATTTTTATTATTCTCTTTTAGGTACTCAAGGAGTTGCACCTGGTCCTGTCATTGGGCTCCAAGCACCATCCACTGGTCTTCTTGGTGCCCGACCTGGCCTAATCCCACTACAGCGCCCTCCGGGAATGCCTCCCCCTCACTTACAGCGGTTTCCTTTGATGCCACCTCGCCCCATGCCACCGCATATGATGCATCGAGGTCCGCCACCAGGACCCGGGAGCTTTGGAATGCCTCCACCTCATGGAATGAAGGGCCCCTTTCCACCGCACGGCCCCTTTGTTAGGCCTGGGGGAATGCCGGGCCTTGGGGGCCCAGGGCCAGGCCCAGGGGGTCCCGAAGACAGAGACGGAAGGCAGCAACAGCCACAGCCACAGCAGCCGCCCCCGCCGCAGCCGCAGCAGCCGCCACCAGCTCAGCAGCCGCCACCAGCTCAGCAGCCGTCACAGCCGTTTAGAAATGATAACAGGCAGCAGTTCAATTCAGGTAGAGACCAAGAGAGGTTTGGAAGAAGATCTTTTGGAAATAGGGTGGAAAATGACCGGGAACGGTATGGGAACCGTAATGATGATAGAGATAATAGTAACCGTGAAAGGAGAGAGTGGGGAAGGAGGAGCCCTGACCGGGACAGGCACAGAGACTTGGAAGAGAGAAATAGACGCTCTAGTGGGCATCGAGACAGAGAGAGAGATTCTAGAGATAGAGAGTCTCGTAGAGAAAAGGAAGACAACCGAGGAAAGGAGAAGCCTGAGGTGACAGACAGGGCAGGTGGTAACAAAGCCGTTGAACCTCCCATTAGCCAAGTGGGAAACGTAGACACTGTTTCAGAACTTGATAAGGGGGAGTCTGAGTCTGCAGTTGTAAAATCTTCTGAAGAGTTACCTGCTGAGGCTACCTCATCCGTTGAACCCGAAAAGGATTCTGGCTCAGCAGCAGAGGCTCCTCGTTAGAGACTGGAATTTGTCAATGTGACAGTGACACTTCCGGAGTGTAGAGCTTGAGGTGTACAGATGCTGTATTATATGTGCTCCTGCTATCTCACAGCCCCGCGGTAGTTGGTGGGGAATTGTAAGCAATTTGATTGCTTCCCTTCTATTTAAAAATAGCAACAAAATAACAAAAAATACTGAAATATGAATAAATATTACCCTTTTTGCTGTAACTTTTTAAAAGTTTTGACTTTAAAAAGTTTACAAATCGTAATTAGAAGTGCTATTTTTTTTTTTTTAATTTAAGACAAGGTAACGGTGAAAGCTCCTCAAAACAATAGGGATGTTTTTAATAAACTCTATTTTCATAACAAACTTTAATGTGTGCTATTCTTCCTACACTGCATTAAGGTGGAAAAGGATTGTTCACCATCAAAGTTTGAGCTGTTAATACTGTATTGGAGTCTAAATTAGACTTGTTTACTTGACGGAAATAGACATTATGTAGTTCTTCTCAAACACTTTTCATTTGTAATACTTATTTTTAGCATTTCAATCATAAGGTGTAAAGGTTTGTAGTTTTAATGTTGAGAAGCTTGTTAGTTTCACAGTTCAATCAAGGATTTCTTTTTTGTCATTGGCTTTCTGGTAAATGTTGCCCTAATTAATTTGTAAAGAGAAATTTTGCTGGGGGTGGGGAGGAACTGGATCCCAAAATACCCATTTGTACTATAAAATTATCCAATTACCTGGGTATTACTTACTTAGAAGGTTGAGTGTTTTCTTACCATCCCATTAAATTTTTCAAAAGAGTGAAAGAAATCAAGGTTAACAATTGCAGCTTAAAAGCTTTTTGTCTTATTTTATATGTTTTAAGGACTTAAACACAACCTATGGTTTATTGTTTCCTATAATATAAGCCTTGCCTGTTGCCTTTCTTGACCTTTTTTTAAGCTCCCCTGCTGGGCAGAGGTAGACTGAACTTTTTGTCACATATGAGAACATATAAAGTATTTTCTCTTTTGCTTAAAATTGTTGGGTTTACTAGGAAAAATAGATGTAGGTTATCCAAGAACTATTACATGAAGTCATCCAAAGCCAAATCAAACCTATGTCTGAAATAGTACAGAAAAGCAGTTCCGTAAAACTGCTTTACTCCGTGCCAAGGAAAAGACCACACAATCCAAGTATTTATGGCCTTGTTGAAGCTTTTTTTCTTAAGTTATATTTTTAAACTGTCCTCGTTTTAGTGTGTTGAACAGGTAACTTTCTTTGCCCTCATTCCTAGATGAAGCTGCTTTATTACTTTGGTTCCTAAATAGTACTCTGCAGCAAGACCTTTGTTTGGAGAATGGTTCTAGGACAATGTTTTTGTGTTCCTGACTTTAGAAAATGAGAAAAAACTCCAGGTTCATCTGGACTTAAATTATAAAACTTGTCCTCTGTTTGATGTTGGCCCACTGAGGGGCTTTAAAAAGCCCTAACTGAAACTGTTGCTGAAAAGAAATATACATGTGGTCATCTAGTGCTCAGATTTCAAGGATTTAAAAAAAAACCCATGTTTCCAGTTGTAAGTATTGGAGTCATCCTATTTGCACATGAGCCCCCCCCCCCCCCCCCCCCCCCCACAGAAGTACCAAGTGGTAATAATTACACTTGAGCCTTGAAAGGTCATAAGCAGGTCCCTATATTTGAGTCCTATCCCACATATGTACTCCAAATTGTACATTAGTGAAATCCGTTCATAGTTTCAAATTCTGACAGTGATCTTAACCACTTACTCTGAGCAGAAGGTTCTTTATCACCAATTTCAAAACTTTGAAAACTACGAATTGTCCTTTTCCAAATTTGCTTTTCCTCTCCCAAGCGATATCCTACATTTGATGAAGTATATCATATATTTATGATCAATTAGAACTGTAACTTATTTCTAGTTGCTCTATTAGAAATAACATTCTCGACAATTTTCGGTTAAGAAACAACTATGCTCCAGAGTCAAATCTGAATTAGGTTAACATTCATGTAAAAGCAATTTCTCATAGGTACATAATAAGTACTTACAATTAAGAACTAGATTTAAATTCACTAATTTGATGTATAAATCCTTAGACACAAACCACATTTAAGCATTCCCTTGGTGCCACCTTAAAATGCTACGGTATATTCCTTTAAATGGCTAATCCGGAAGCAGATCGGCACAAATGAAATAAATGTTCCTCTGTGTACGGAGCGGAGGACGTGCTATTTTGGCAGGTAGGTAATTTAATTTTACTGAATCAAAATCTAAGTAGCCCATCAGACAAATCATCCAAATTTCCCTGAAGCTGACAAAAGGTATTTGTCCAAGATTTAAGTTGAGGTTAGTCTTAGCTGAAAGACCGGCTGCTAAAAATTTAAACATCATTTAAAACACTTTGAAAAGTGACTTCTATGAACCATGTGATACCTGTCAACATACTACTATATCTGTTCTGTTCAAGCTCTATGTAGGGGTATCGAGAGCTAATTTAGAGTTTCAATTTGGATGCTTTAGTAGGTTCAAAATTCAGTGCCATATGGTGTATTTGTTTATTGCAGGCTTGAATGAGAAGTGAAGAAATTCAGACAATTAAGTTTAATACCCAGATTATTAAGCCTGGCAAAATACAGAGATCGTTGAAACAGACATTTTAACTGAATATGAGTTTTATAAAATTATACAAATCTTCCAAGTGATCATAAATCAGTTCTCATTACAGGTACTTAAAGCAATTAAAAAGTCACACGAATTACATTTTTTTTTAAAGTTACAGTGTTTAATGTTTATCAAGTTAAATTTCTACAACTAGCAAGATAACATAGGAGTTACTAGGACTCAGATCGCTTCCCAGGGAATGTTTACTTGGCGATCCCAATGACACCACATGCCAGACGACTCCCAGCGTTTCCTGTTTGTGTGCTTTCTTCATTTCCACCTTTGCCCAAGTCATCTCGTTTCTCGTGGACCTTTAAAAAGTTTTAAGAACATTAGCATACTTAGTGCTAGCAAGTAATTACCACCTCTTCCCAGCAATACCAAAAGACCTTTTTATGAACCACTTAATGTTAGAAAATACCATGTTAAAATAATCCTAGCAAGGAAATATACTAATATTTAATCTAGTAGCAAAAAATAAAACTACTCAAGGCTTTTTCTCAATGACACAAATGGAAATTAACTGTACACACTAGGTTTGGGCTGCCATCTCTAAACCCCATGACTCTTCTAGGCCACCACGTGCCAATGTTAGTCCTCCGTGAGATGCGCTAATGGCCTCAATTACAGCATTCTCTTATAATAAACACTGTTTTGGAGAGAAGAAAAAAGTGAATTTTAAGAACTCTCAAAATTGTGCCTAATGAACTAGAAGTCTGTAAATAAGTAATCTTAAAAATATCTTGGACTATAGAAACAACAGCATTTTCAATTTGGCTCATTTAGCACTGATCGATGATTTTTCTGCTTTATAACTATAGCTGAAGAAAAGTCTGGGGTCACCGGTAAGGAAAGCACTGTAGGCAACAGAGAGCCTATACTACGTAGTGTCTGCGAGACCCAGACGCAGCTCCCGTGGGTAACGTGGGGCAGTCCCTTCCCACATGTCAGACAAGCGACCGTAACCTGCAGATGCAAATAAGTAATACTAAGGTCTGTCTCAGAGTTTAGACTTAACAAAACGTTCTGTTTAACTACGGGGGGCGGGGTGGGGGGGACACATTCAATCATGACAAGAAAATATGGCCTTTTTAAAACCAGACAAGACTGCTTCTGTTTCCACAATACAGATCTAACCTGATCAAACGCAACCTACTTTACTACTGCATCTCAGCAGAACAGTGTTCATACCCAACCTAGATCAGTAATTCATCTTCACTGTAACGAGTAAAGTAACTCCTTTTCCTAATCTGAACTAAAGGTACAATGTATGTGGATCAGGATGAATAATCATGAAATGGTGAGAAGAACCTGTTAGAACAAACTGTATGTATATCCTATTATATGAAAACTCACCACCATTGTGCGGCCAATGATGGAGCGTTCTCCTGAGAGCGCAATCAGATCATCTTCTATAAACACATTGGCCACACCGTCCTTGCCAGCAATTACATTGCCAAGGTCTCCAACATGCCTAACATTGAAAAACATCAGGGATTAGGACTGATTTCCACTTAACCTTAACATCAGGCTAGTCTGTGAGCTAAATTACAAACTGAGTCAGATACAGAAGGATGGACTAAGAGGTGGATATAGTGTGTATCAAACAGGACCCGCTTTCTCAGAATGACAAGTTTGGAACATCCAAATTAGAAACAACTTGACATTCTACACCCATTGCTCTTGAAAACTTTAAATCTACAAAGTACTACTCTGGGAAGCATCATGGGGTGGGGACACACCTATAATTTCAGAGGTAAATGACCAATGGGTAAACTGAGTTACTGAGTTATGCCTGTTAATTCTTGGCATGGCTAAGAAAGCTATGCCCCAGGCCTGTTCTAAAAATAAATTAATCCCAGTTCTTAAATTTAGTATTTTCCTGAAATGCTCTCAGAAACACACAGACAAATGGACTCCATGAATTTTCAGTATCAAATTTTACTTACAAGGCTTCCTAAGTTTCACAATGACGGTTTATGTTGCTAGTGGCTGACAGTACTGTTATTCATGACATTTCCTGTATTCCCTTTGGCACTTGTATTAGTTCTATATTCAATAAATGCTACAAAACCAAATCATCTTGAGTGTCCCCATTTGTCACTTCCCAGCCCAGGGAGTAAGCCACTCCAGCACTTGGGGATAGAGGGTTACTTAGGGGTGGGAGGGTGGGCGGTGGCAGTAAGTTCAAGAGCAGAGGGGTGGGGAAGACTACTCCGTTGTGTCACATGCAATCTGCAAGTAGTATACCCATGTGGACCCCAACAAGCCATCACCATAATTTTAATAGGGTTAAGCACTTTGTCACTCACCTCTCTTCATCCTTTGGCCCACCATGCTTTTTGGATTGAGGATTAAAGTGAGGACCTGCACTGGTGCAGCCTATTTGCCAAAAATGAAAACAAAAACAAAAACAAAAAGTAGTTACATTATAAATCAGAATTCCAAAATAAATTCTAAAAAGAAACCGGTCGTTACTAAAGCCTCACACAGAGAAAATACTGACCTACATCGTAACTTCTAGGTTCGTAAAAACAGGAAGCAACACAAACAGGCAAGCAGTAGGGACAAGTTCTAACTAGTGTGTGACAGCGGTAACGGTAAGGCCCTTCTCTGGGCTTTGATTTCTTCACTGCTCTGCACAGGAGGGCCAAGGCTTGGTCTTCACGGTTCTTCAATTATTAAAATCCCACGATAATGATCCTAGTTTATAAGGCAGCGAACCTTCCCTACAGAAACCCCTGTCCCCAGCAGCACACCACCAGGGAGCCCTACTGTGGCCTCTGCCTGGTTCCCGCAGACTAGGAGAGGCCACCTTCTGTCTAAGGGCCAAGGCCGCTGCCGCCTCACAGAACCCCAGGCGGTGGCGTTCAGAACACATTCTGGAACAACGGCACTCCTGTGTTCCAGGCAAGGCCTTTCTCACAGAACACAACCACAAGTCGGCAGAAAGTTCTTTTGTGACGCGGCTTTCTTCACTCAGCAGGTGACGGAAAGTTTCCACTGTTTACAGCTATTACGCAGCTCCCCCAGGGAGAAGACACCCAGGTGACAGGAAGCAGCACAGTAAGTCAAGGCCACCGGGGCACACACCTCGCAAAGCAGCGGCAATAAAACAGTAAAGAGTATCCTGAGAAGTTTTAGTAATTCTTGAAATGGATCAAAGCTTGTCATTAAATCACAAGTTTTATAGGAACTAAATTATAGAACAGTGAGAGCAAATTCCAGCAAGATGAATCGAGTTTTCATCATACAAAGTCTACCCGGTGCATTTAGAGGACTAAATGCATTTTAACCCGATAAACCTCTGTTAACTTGCTTCTAATTAATGGAACTCAATGCAAAGCAACAAGAGTTTACATTCTTTTCCCATATCCCACCTTCCTTCTGTCCCGTTAGGAGCCCAGTGTTGGCTGCTCGGCGCTGTTCTTACAGGACAATGCAGATAAATACCCTCCCGTGCTTGAAGCCCACCCTCAACCCCAGCTCACAAACACCTGAGATCTATGGAAGGTACAAAAAGTAGCTTAAATCTTTTGTTTTCTAAAAAAAAAAAACTGAGACTCTTTTATAATCAAGGTATAATCATAAAAAAAACCCACATCAACTTCTTCCCCTTCCTTTCCACCCTTAAAGAGTCCAAAGCCAGTGCTGTGGCTCATTTCCCTAAGGCTGACCTTAGTAATCATACTCACTTTTCCCCCCACCCTGTTAAGGGGGAGCTCTACTCAGTACCATTCATCTTACGTGAAACAAGCAGGAGTCACCAGGCCAACACGCACCCACCTTGTGTATTATCTCCAAACTGATGCACGTGAAATCCATGCTCGCCTTCAGTCAATCCTGTGATGGTTCCTGAGACCACAACATGCTCCTTTTCCTTTAGTCAAAGAAAAGCGCAAGAAGTTTGAGAGAGCAAATGCTGCTGAACCAAGAAACCAGGTGAATCATCTTTACCAATCACAGGAAAAGAACATGGGAGTCAAAGATCTGGGTCCAAATCCCAGGCCCACCTCTGTCTAGCAAGCTATTAAACTGTTCCAGGCCAGGGACCCAACACAAAGGGAGATGTGAGCTTGTTCTAAGCAAGCCCAGGAGCCCTGAACCCAGCATCACAATTAAATAGCCCGGGGGCGCCTGGATGGCTGTGGGTTGAGGATGAGCATCTGACTTCCGCTCAGGTCATGATCTTAAAGTTCTCAAGTTCAAGCCCTGCATCGTGCTGTCAGCATGGAGCCTACTTCGGATCCTCTATCCCCCGTCCCCTCTGTCCCTCCTCAGCCTGTTCTCTCTCAAAAATAAACAAACAATAATATAAACAAATAGCCCAGAAAACGCACCTAAGCAGAGTGTCAAATAGAGTGAGCACTTAAATTGTGGATTATAGACTAGGTAGGGTTTGACTCCCTCACAGTGAATATGTAACATGAATAAGTGGTTTATTTGGTAAAGACTTTTGAATTTTTTTTAACATTTATTTATTTTTGAGACAGAGCACGAGCTGGGGAGGGGCAGAGAGAGAGTGAGACACAGAATCTGAAGCAGGCTCCAGGCTCTGAGCTGTCAGCACAGAGCCTGATGTGGGGCTCGAACCCACGGACCCCAAGATCATGACCTGAGCCGAAGTTGGACGCTTAACCGACTGAGCCACTCAGGCACCCTGTAAATGCTTTTGAATGTGCTATGTTTGCACATGATGAATATGTGTATATATCATACTTCTTAACCCAAATGTCAGCACATCATAGCACTTTGTTTTCTTCATGCAGACCCTCTTCCATAGAGCAAACATACAAATTTGCCTTCAAAAAAAAAAAAAAACCCAAAAACTAACCATATACAACTACTCTAGGGTCCCTAGTTCTCCACTCTCCCTCTAGGTGGGTATTTATCAGTTTCCACATAGAAATTTTTTTTTTTTTTTAATTAATAGCCAGAAAATACCCTGTCCCACTGTCCCCGGGGGACTGATTCTGCTCTAACCAAAGGTCCTGTTTTATGAAGCCATTTTAGGCATTCAAACCTAGATAACCTTCCCACTCCGACAGCAGAAAGAAAGGGTAATGAAAACGCGAAGATAGAAAAACACATAGGCAATGATAATAGTTAACAGAACTATATGGCTGGCTACATACAGAAAAAAGGAGGTTAACTATTATCGCCACAAGGAAATCTTAGGAACTAACATCAAACACACAGAGAAGTACATGATGGTGTCTTGGTGTTTAGTTTGGTTTGTTTTTTAATAGTCAGAGCCAACAGTTACAAAAGGTGCTGGCCTTGAACATCCGACTTTCTATTGGATAAAAACCACTGCCCGAAGGAAGGAGGATGGCAACTTGCTGACCTTCTTTGCTTTTCTTTTTGAGAAGAGATACACTAGCAGTTTTCCGAGCCTAAGCTTAATTTTGTAAAAACGAAAACGAGAATGTTAACCCCCCAAATGTGCCGTGTTACCAGGAGCACAGAAACAAGAGGGCAGGGTCTTCTAGCCTCTGTAATCGGGTCCTGGGTAAATGCCGCACCCACAGGAGGGGTCTGGCAGTCAGCTGCCAGGGTACAGCCCTACTGGGGCCACGTGGTTATCTTGAATGAGTAAAACAGGTCTGGGAAGCAAAAAGGAATATAAGCTAAATGGCCCTGCAGCATGCTGTCCTGAGCTCATGCGGGCTCAGTACGGGCAGATCTCCAAGTTCTTCAAAAGAAGCCAGGAAACTGGACTTCGAGGTGAAAATTTCAGCTTTTTAAAAATTGAAAACTAATCCAAAAAAAGTTTTTAAGTTTATTTTTATTTCATTTGAGAGAGAGAGCAAGCAGGGGAAGGGCCGAGAGGGAGACAGAATTCCAAGCAGGCTCCGTGCTGTCAGCAAAGAGCCAAATGCAGGGCTCGAACTCACAAACCATGCTTAACTGACTGAGCCACCCAGGTGCCCCACTGATCCAAAATTTTAAACGCTCTCGAGACCAAACAAATACAGTTTATTTCCAATTTAACACACTTGCATAACCGTAGAGCTGTAATGCTGAACGACAAAGGATCTTTTATCAGGTACAAACAAAATGAAGTTTGGATCTTAAAAAAGGGGGGCCCTACAGGTTGCTCAGGGGAGGTGGGCAGCCTCAGTTACGTCTAGATTCCTGCCTTGGCTCCTGAATGTAAAGTGGAAGCCACTTCTCCACAGCCAGAGGGAAGGGACCCCTCAGAGGCTGCCTCGATTCTCTAGTGTTCTGGCGAAATTACACAAGGAGAAACGAGGAGCAAAACAAAGCCTGGCAAACGAAAGCAGCAAAATTTAGTCAACTGCCAAAGAGCCTCTTCCAGAAAATTTGCAAACCACTCGAAGGATAAAATTAAAACTCCCTCGCATAAATTTCATAAACAGGGACACTTACCAAGATTACTTTTCCTGTCCTCTCACATTTCTGTAAGCCACTTTAAAGATCAAACCTCATTCATATATTTCCTAGTGTTACGACTATCAAACCAAGTACAATTTTCCATCTGTCCGTAACCTCGCTAAGATTTGGGGAGACAAGCCCCTTCCTTCCTTATAAAACGTTTGTTTCATAGTATTATTAATGAGTATTTCTGTATACTTTATTTTTTGACCATCTCAGTAGTGGGCTTATTGGTAGAGCTATTGCAAAACCACTTTACAGCAAATTTGGTTAAATGAATGCCCCGACAGCGAGTGCAGTGAAACTCCAGGCCTCCTAACTTCCAACTCCGAAATCTCATCCACTACCATCTAAAAGTTCTTAAAGCTTGATGCAAATCACTACTACTATGGACACTAAAAACAGCAATGTTCTGGGGAACCTGGCAGTCTTAATGGGTTAACCTTCGGACTCTCCATCTCGGCTCAGGCCATGGTCTCACAGTTCGTGAGATCCAGCCTTGCATCAAGCTCTGCGAGGCTGGTGCCCACCTGCTTGGGATTCTCTCTCCCCCTCCCCCACTCGTCCTCTCCCCCTGAAAATAAACATTAAGAAACAAACAAAACACCCAGCAATGTGCATATCGCACCCTGTCAGATTTTGATATAACTGATCTGCAGCTGGCATCACAACATTTTCTAAAAGCTCCCCAAACGAGTCTACTGTGCACCCAGGGTAAAACAGCTCCGTTCTGGAAAACACCCAACAAGGGAGGAGGTTAGATCTCTCTGGAGCTTTGGAGGAGGAAAAGCCAACTTTGTCCGAGGCCATCTTCTTTGACTTTACAGCCTGACCATGACCCAGATCAGGGGGCAGCAAAGTTTTCTGAAAGGGGCCAAGGTTTCTGGCCTGTTAAAATCAGAAACACAGGGAGACCAGCCTTGAAAATTCCCCGGTCAGACAAAACCAATTTAATCCTACAAACAAAAGTTCAACTGGCTTATTTTGCAAGGCTAACTTGACCTGGGTCATTCCTAACCTGGAAACGCTAAGTAAAAGTTACCTGTTTCCCAAGGTCCGCCTGTGGTAAGCGCTAACCAATTCCTTAGCATCTGAGAAAACAACAATCATAACCTATTCCCCGCGAAAAATAAAGTCACTGGCTCTCACTACATAAGGTGCTTTGTGACAATATACCCCCCGGCGCACTGCACAATTTGGCTGGGGTGCTCCCGGTTCACGACCATCGTTTGGTGTGAGCACAAGAAACTTTTACTAATCACTGCTTTGGGGATTCAATGGTTTTATTTCTGACTTTTGACAGTCGCGGGAGTCCCGTTTTTCAGGGCCCTCTGAACTAGCCAGATACAAACCACTGTCAGCTCCGGGGCTGTACGAACACCCGCCCGGGGACGGGCTGTGTCCACAGGCTGCAGACCCCTGAGCGGAAAGGAAGCCCCAAAGTGGGGTAACGGATGTGACCATACCCAGGTGGCACGGCCGCACTCGCCGCCACCACCGATCACGAACCTCCCCTTTCCCCCCTCCCCGCGGCGATCCCGGACCTCAAGGGCGCGCCAGGCCGCGGGCTGCGCAACTCCGAGTCGCACAAGCTTCAGGACCCAGAAAACGACCCCGCAAAGACGGGCCACAGCCTCTGCAGAAAACGTCACGTCTCCGCCCCGGCCTACTGACGCGACGGCGCCGGCCCAGGCCCTCGAGGGATCCGGTCTCCGCCCGGTCTCCGCGGCCCGCGCTCTCCAAGCACCCCCGGGGCAGCCCGGGGCGCCTTCCTTGCACCCCCCCCGCCCAGGCCTCGCCACGCACCGCCGCCCCTGCAGGGCCCGCCCGGTGACTCAGCACTCGGCCGCCGCACCGCCGCGGGGCAGAGGCCTCGGGCGCCGCGAACCCGCAGACTCCGCGGGGCGGGGGCGTGCCGAGGGCGGCTCGAGGCCCGGCGGGCCGCCGCCACGGGGCACAGCTGAGAGGGCGCGGCCTCGCCGCCGGCCTCCGCCCCAGCCCTTGCCTTCTGGACGAAGTGGATGATGCCTTCCACCGGGCCCTGGCCCTTCAGCACGCACACGGCCTTCATCTCCATGACTCTCGAGGGCGCGCTCGGGTCGCGGCTCCGAAGGCTCCGAAGACTCCGAGAGCAGCGGAGGACGCCGCAGAAGACGCCGACGCAACCCGGTGCCCGCGCCGCGCGCTCTTAAAGGCCGGAGCTCTGCGCCCCGCCCTCCCTGGCCTGGCACCAATCGCCGTCCGCGCTCAGCCCGCGCCCCACGGGGCGTTGGCACGCGAGTGGCCCGGAACGACCGGGGGCGGGACTAAGGAGCCGCGTGGGGAACCTTGCGTCCCGCGCCGCCAGCTCCCTCCGCCCCGCGGCTCGAAAACGCCCAGAAATATGGAACTGCGGGAAAAAATGGCCCTTCCCTTCCAGCCTGTGGATTGCAGTTCGCGAGCCTGGGAAAATGAGGTATACGTGGCACGCTTTTAATATCTGAAGTCACTTTGGAAATGTCACTGGGTATAATGGCCTTGTCTCCTCTGTTGCTTAGAAACTGGGAAGCGCCGAGCTGGGTGCTTTTTGTGGTTTTCATATGTGTCGTGTGTTTTGGGTTTTCCGGAGGTGTGTAAAGTCAGCGCATCTCAGTCCCTGCCCTTGCTTGTTCTTCCCTGCGGTTTTTTAGTCCGTAGCACACACAGTTACTAATCTGGTTAACGGAACTCCGTGTTCTTTTCACATTTTTCCTGTTGGACCAGGAAGGCCCCCACCGGTGAAAATCCCAAAACGTCAACTGATTGCCTTCTGCACATTGTTCGTGTTTTGTCCGGTCCCGCTGCCTCAGCGGTCGGGGAGGAGGGCAGAATGGGTACACAATTGGGGCGCCTGGGTGGCTTAGTCGGTTAAGCGTCCGACTTTCGCTCAGGTCATGATCTCGCGGTTCGTGGGTTCGAGCCCCGCGTCGGGCTCTGTGCTGACTGCCAGCTCAGCGCCTGGAGCCTGTTTCAGTCTGTGACTCCCTCTCTCTCTGACCCTCCCCTGCTCACGCTGTCTCTCTCTCTCCTAGAAATAAATAAAAACATTAAAAAAAAATTAAAAAACAAAACAAAACACAACAAAACACTAGGCCTGGGGGACAACTGGGTGGCTCAGTTGGTTGAGCATCCGACCTCAGCTCAGGTCATGATCTCTGGCTTGGGGAGTTCGAGTCCCACATTGGGCTTGCTGCTGTCAGTCAGCCTGTCAGCACAGAGTCTGCTTCAGATCTTCTGTCCCACTCTCTCTGGCCCTTCCCCTGCTTGCACTCTCTCAAAAATAAATAAACATTAAAAAACCAACCAACAAACAAACACTGGGCTTGGGCCCAATATATTGGGATCTTCAAATTGTATATATTTAAATTGTAAGCACGTATTATGTTATAAGACATAAGAAACTAACAGTGGTTGGGGACACCTGAGTGGCATTTCTTTGAACAGACATTCCTTTTGGGGCACCTGGGTGGCTCAGTGGGTTCAATGTCCAACTCTCGGTTTCAGCTCAGGTCGTGATATCATGGTTCATGGGTTTGAGCCCTGCGACCAGCTCTGCATGAGCAGAGCCTGCTTCGGATTCTCCCTCCCTCTCTCTCTGCCCCTCCCCCTCTTGTGCTCGCTCATTCTCAAAAATAAACTTAAAAAAAAAAAAAAAAGACCTTCCTTTTGGGGCACCTGGCTCAGTCGGTTTAGTGTCCAGCTTCAGCTCAGGTCATGATCTCACAGTTTGTGGGTTCAAGCCGCACACTGTGCTCTGTGCTGACAGCTTGGAGCCTGCTTTAGGTTCTGTGGCTCCCTCTCTCTCCACCCCTCCCTTGCCTGCACTCTGTGTCTCTTTCTCTCAAAAATAAACATTAAAAAAAAACTTTTTTAAAGAAAGTAACAATGGTTTTCTTTGAGAATGGGTATTTTTCATCACATGAGAGAACTAACACCTTTATTTGGTTAAACTAGCATAATCAGGTTTCTGTTAACTGCAGTCAAAAGCAGTTTCTGACTGATACAGAGGAGTTTTAGCAGGAAGCAGCGTGATTATGCTCATATGCAAGGGTGATTCCTAGGATATCTCAGTGCGGGGACTGACCAGGGGTTGGGTGCAACTGAAGGCAGGGAGGCCATTTGGGAGCCATGATAAGGTCCTGGCCCAAGGCCATTACTGGAAAAAAAGGAGAGAGATAATGGAAATGGAACCGCTAGCCTCAGTGACTATCTAAAGTGCAGGATAGGGGGCGAGGGGAGGCAAAGGTGGCTCCCCGGCTTCAGGCTTGGGGCACGGGGTGTGGATGGCAGTGCCATTTACCAAGGAAAGCAAGTGGAGGGATAAAGAGCCTCATTCAGGACAGGGTGCATTGGGGGTGCCTGGGGAACATTGGAAGTGCCAAGCTGGAATTGGCCACTTAGATATGGGTCTGAACCTCAGGGTCACTTCTAAGTCTGGGCTCTATATCAAATTTAACACACATGTTATTCAGATTTGTAAAGAAAAGATAGTAGTTTGTTCCCTTTAGGAGGATGTAATTGTCTTCATGATCCTCTAACACCCTAGGTGGGTAGGAACTCGGTGAGACTTGGATGTGCCAGTAATGTTATGTCAAGTTCATTTGGTTTAAACAGTCTCTTTAGAGCACTGATTTGCACACCTTAGTATAAGAATTAGCTACAAGGCTTATTAATATCCAGGTTGCTGGTCCCCAGCCTCCAAAACTTTTTAAAAAGAAATAGTTTTATTAAAATATAATTTATATACTATAAAGATTCACTCATTATAAGAGTACACTTAAGTGATTTCTTTCTTTTTCTTCTTTGTTTTTTTTAGTAAATTTGTTTAGTTGGTAATCATTATCAAAATCCAGTTTTAGAACATTTCTGTCTGCCCAGTAAATTTCCTCCTGCTGGTTTTTGCTTACTTTCTCCCATCCCAAGTCCTAGGCAACCACTGATCTGCCTTGTTCTCTATTAATTTGCCTTTTCTGGACATTTTTATAAATGGAACCATACAACATGTAGTCTTTTGCATCTGACTTCTTTCTTTTTTTTTAATTAAAAATTTTTTTTAAATGTTTATTTACTTTTGAGAGAGAGAGAGCACTAGCAGGAGAGGGACAGAGAGGAGGAGACACAGATCTGAAGGAGGCTCCAGGCTCTGAGCTGTCCGCACAGAGCCCTACCCAGGACTCAAACTCACGAACCGTGAGATCATGACCTGAGCCAAAGTCAGACGCTTAACTGACTGAGCCACCCAGGCGCCCGACTTTTTTCATTGAGTATGATGTTTTAGAGCTTAATCTATGTTGTAGGTTGTAATGTACCAGTAGTTCATTCCTTTTATGTCTAAATGGTATTATTTGGGTATACCACAAACTGTTTTCCACTCACAAGGTGATGGGCATTGGATTTGTTGTGGGTAGAATTGTGACCCCTCCAAAATTCATACATTGAAGTCTAACCTCCTTTACATCGAAATGTGATCTTGTTTGGAACTAGTTTTTTTTTTTTTTTTTTTAATGTTTTTATTTATTTGTGAGAAAGAGACAGAGTGAGCAGGGGAGGGCCAGAGAGAGAGGGAGACACAATCTGAAGCAGGCTCCAGGCTCCGAGCCAGCTGTCAGCACAGAGCCTGATGCGGGGCTCAAACCCATGAACTGCAAGATCATGACCTGAGCCAAAGTTGGACACTTAACCGACTAAGCCACCCAGGTGCCCCTGGAAATAGGGTTTTGTAGATTGCTGATCTAGTGACTCTTTAGTCACTATGAAAGATCCCTCTTTGTCTCTAGTAATATTTCCTAATATCCTATTTAGATGATATCCATATAAGCCACTTCAACTTTCTTATGGTTATTATTTTCATGATCTATCTTTTTTCTTCTTTTTGCTTTTAGCCTGTTTGTGTGTCTGAATCGAAGTGCATCTCTTGCAGAGAACATGTATTTGGATCTTGCTTTTTTTTTTTTTTCCCATCCAATCTGAATATCTCTACTCTTCGGCTGGGATGTTTAGGTCATTCACAGTTTTTGAATTTTTATTCTTTTTTAAATGTTTGTTTATTTTTGAGAGAGAGAAAGACAAAAAGCATGAGCAGGGGAGAGGCAGAGAGTGAGGGAAACAGAATCCAAAGAAGGCTCTAGGCTCTGAGCTGTCGGCATAGAGCCCAACATGGGGCTCGAACTCGTGAGCGGTGAGACCATGACCTGAAGCCAAATATCCAACCGACTGAGCCATTCAGGTGCCCCTAGGTCATTCACATTTAATGTAATTAATACTATGTTGGATTTACATTTGCCATTTTGCTATTTGTCTTCTATATGTCTTCTTTCTTCTTTGCTTCCCTGTTCCTCTTTTATTGCTTGCTTTTGTGCCAAATATTTTTTGGTATAGCATTTAAATTCCTCTTAACTTTTTTTTTTACTATTTTAAAATGAATTTTCGTAGCAGTTGCTCTATAGGTTACAGCATCTAAACTTACCAAAATCTAGCTGAGATTAATACTAATTTAATTCTGGCAAAATACAGAAACTTCACTGCATTATAGCTCAATTCTCTCCCCCCCTTTTGTATTGTTATACATATTACATTTATATGTCGTGTAAACCCAACAGTACAGTGTTATGAGTGTTGCTTTAAACAGTCTTATATCATGTAAAGAAATTAAGAAGAGAAATGAGGAAATAATATTTAAAAAGTCTTTCATGTTAACCCACATATTTACCATTTCCAGTGCTTTTTGTTTTTCCCTATGTATCCAATTGCCATCTGATGTCACTTCCTTTCAGTCTGAAGGCAAGGCTGTCATCTCTTCCCCTGACAGTGCCACTGGACATGGGCATCACGTCCACCACACCAGCTCCTCTGAGCCCCCCTCAGCCTCAGCAGCATGACTGCCAGCGGTCATGGTCTGTGCTGCCCTAGTGGGGCCTCCACACCACCTGGGCCGGCCAAGATGGAACCAGCCCTGGGCCAGGATGCCTCGGACATCCACTGTTCTGAGCCAAAGTTCAGCAGTTTTCAAGCATAAACACTTCTCAGATGGTCATATGCCTCTGGTCGAGTTCCAGAGCACTGATATTGTCATTCTTGTCAATTTCGTCTAGCTCTATAGTTGCTTTCTGGGGAGCGATCTGCTGACCTTTTCACTTGGCCGCAACCAGAAGTCA